CTCGACTTCTAGCCCAATACTCTAGTATTCCAATACTCCAATACTCCAATACTCAGTGCGAAGTCGAAGTCACATTGCGACTGACGGTCAGTCAGTCAGTAAGTCTTGGCGTCGAGCCCCATCTGGGGCTCATGGCCAGGTATTTATTACAGTTTGACATTTACGGTCTTGCTTTTGTGGGGCGCCCTCTCTGACGAGAAAGGCTCTGCTTATATAGTGGTTATGCGGCCCGGATACCGGACACCATTCCTCAGCGTTCCGTTTCCGCTGTTCAGCAATGCGTTGCTTCGGGAACGCTCTTTATAGATTACACCGGTGACGTGTTTCGTCTCACCCGTTGTTACTCAGTGACAATTCGTTGTTACGATTTGTCGCTGCGGGAACTCCACAATTTCCACATATTCGTTGTCGTGGAAATAACCGTTCCGAATATAGCGGTTGTCGCGTTGATGGACGTAAGGTAACGCGTCACAATATATTAGTAGTCGGTATAGAGACTGACTACGGGCTGGATGACCGAGGGGTTGGATTTCTAGTCCCGGTAGGGTTAAGAATTTTCTCTTCTCCACATCGTCCAGACCGGCTCTGCGGTCCACAGAAATTCCTTTCCAAGTGGTCCCGGGGGCTATTTGCCCGAGGTAAAGTGGCAAGGATGTGAAGCTGAACACTCACCTCCAGCTAGTTCAAAAATTCAAGAAAATGTGGACCTATCTCCCACATGCGCCTTCAAGGCATAGTGCTTATTTAGTTAAGCACAGGGACAACTTTATTTTTAGCTTTTTCATGGATTTATATCCCCGAAAGTAGAACCCCTCATAACCACCGCTGTGAGGGCCGTGAGAACCTCAAATCCTACGTGGTAATGGATATTCAGTTCTATAAAAGGGAGTGGATTTGTTGATTAGCTACGTAGCTCCTATCTTCCCAAGAAGGACTCTGTGCTATGGAGTTGAACAGTCAAATAATAGTAATATGTCACAATATTTATGGTCGTAACTTTTTTCAAGGAAGAAATGCAAGCTGAACAAAAATATTGTCTTAGTATTTGTGGCAAGAGCGATTGGACATCCGAAGAAACAAAACAAGAATAAAGAAAGATTATGGAATAATGTTACATTTTAAATTATAAAACAGTTCCTAGTGTTTAACTTGAACCAATTTGAACATGTCAGTCTTAAAAGTAAGAGTTTAACTACAATTAATTTGGAGACGTCAGTCCTTTGAGTGTGAGGCATAGACAAAGCACAAAACAAATTTGCGCACGTACGGAAGCAAATAAATACATGTAGAAAGAAGAACGTTACTGGGCAAATTAATGACTTTGCCCGGATATGAGATTTCGACAGGGAGGAGAAGGGAGGAGAACGGAATACAGAACATGGGAGATGAGATTTTGAAGATGAAGAAGTGGAACCAATTTTTCGAGCAGAAAGAAAATAAAAACACAAGGATGAAATGATGTACAAAATGCATTTAACGACAAAATAATAACATATCTTCGACAAGATTGAAAACCATCCCCAAGTAATAAAGTTCACCAGATTCCGAAATGGAATAAAATTTCTGGGAAGAACTGATGGCCTACTTTCCTTTCACTACACACTGAGTGTCTATGGCAAGGAGAAGAATTTGTTGATATGGCCTTAGTTGAAGAAATATAAATATAAGTTTCTATGACGGTCGGTTCTGGAATTCATGTTATATTAATGTTGCTACCTCAGAAACTGAGAGGATTCAATGTTGGTATTACTGAAGAAATGGATTATAAGAGGGTCCATTGAGGGTGTTTCAGGTATCACGACACAAACACCAAGTTCTTATCAAGACCAGTGCAGCCGTTCAAAACTTCTTACACATATAGACACGGACACACACATACACAGAGAGCGAGAATATTTCATAAGCCTACTTTTACTCTTTTCAAAATAAGAAACGCTGGCCAAACATTCATAACCAGGAGCGTCAAAATTTATACTCTTCAACAAACATTACTGAAGCGATCGAGTCAAGGAATATGAGATGGGCGAGAAATGATGAGATGTGGGGGAGATGAGGAATGAATAGAAATCTGTAGTAGATAAGCTTCAATTGGAGAATTGGTTGAAAAACTTGGACTTAGATCTCTAGTCCCATATTTTTTTTAAAGAAAACTAAGGGAAATTGCTTTCTTCAATATTCCCCTGTTGGTGCGTAACAATTAGTAGTATATAATCTTAACCATGGCAACAAAAGTCAGGTATATTCCGTGTCTTCAGAGCTGTGATGTATCACACTGTAATAATTAGACTTTGTAGTACATACGGGTACATTGCGCCCTCCGTCCAGAGAAGAATCTGGGGCCCAATGGGCCAGTCTGACAGTAAACAAGCCATCTGTGGCGTAAAAATAAGAGCAGTTTTCCGAGTTACCGAACGTCACTCTCAATGAAAAGTATTCTGACTTCGTATTCAGGAAGTCTTAGGTTCAAATCTCAACCCGGATACCGATTATCAAGACAGATATTACTTGTATATTTTCTAGTCCCTCGGTGTAAATGAGAGAGTCAATAAATAGGTTACAAATGGATATAAAACTCAAAACATGTGATACTGGAAACTGGAAAGAAAAAAAACATTTATTTCTCTACATAATCTCCATCAATGTTGATAAAATTATTTCATGGCTTTACCAGTGTATCGAAGCCCGCAACATAGAAGTCTTCTAACTGTTGACTCAGCCACTTCCTCACCTCCGTTACAACCTCTTTTTCATCAGAGAAACTTCTGTCACCAAAGTGGAACAATTTTACCCTACAAACATTTCCCAACATTTCATTATTAATATCTTTCTTACTGAGTCTCTTCCGATAAAATCCACAACAGAACGCTACTGTTTGGTAATACTCTTCGGTAATACTCTTCTCAAGCACGGTCACCATTTTGACTGCTGAAACCAGCCTCTGAACATGCGCATGCGCGTCTACTACCTGGACTGTGCTGCTTTCTAGTGACACACGTTGAAAACCTATTACATCCATTACAGCTCTTTTACTTCCATTTCTGACCTATTTACTGACTCTCCCTCGTACCAGGATACAACCAAACGTACAGACCCGTCTACCTTCTCTCCAGTTCATTGTTCACTGAGCATTCTGTCATCCTGTTCTTTCGGTATATAATCTGCATTATTGAAGTAGCTGTTAAATAAACCTTAAACAAACAAATAACCAAACAATCCCAGAGCTCAGAATATAGAGAGTTCCGCATTAATGCCAATTGTTTGCCTTCACGGATCAAATTAATTATTTAACAAAACTGCATTAAGTGTCGAGTATTTGTAGTTAAGAAAGCGAAGGTAAAATTATCTTCCTCTGTTGAAACTCCAGTGTCTGAATTAAGACCAAGAAAACCTACTTAAAATAATACGGTCATGATAAGCTACAAAACGGGCAGCTAATTCCCAAAGAACTTCTACCGTGCCGGATCAGCGTCCTACAAAGATCTCCAGTACATCCTGTCGTTTCCATCCTGGCTCATTGTGCTGAGACCTTCTTGAAGAGACAATAATCACTGCTCAAGCAATTGCTAGGCTGTTATGGAGTGCGAGATTTCAATGCCGAGTTCAAAGAAGGCTGCTGAGACCACCTTGTTGTCTGTGTGATTGTGCCCCCCCCCAATACTTTATGTTACTAGATTTATGAATTCAGCTTGATGTTTGTGTGTGTGTGTGTGTGTGTGTCTCCTCTTGTTTTTAGGCAACAAGCCATTGCTGGTTATTATTACATAATATTGTCACGTGTATGAGTGTGACTACATGTATAAACGGGTTTGGTAATTGGATTTATTGAGCTCTTACAGAAACGTGGCTACAAGTAATTATAGCCGTTTCACTGAGTTACGCACTCCAAAGGTCACTGTAACCACGAGACATATGAAATCTTCTCGGTCTTACTTAGCCGTGGCTCGGTAGCGGCTTCAATGGCGGACGTTCCTCTTTCTCTGAGTTCCCGAATTGTTCCGGCCTCATCTACCAGCTGCTAACAGCAACAGCTCACAATTACTGAGCCATAGTAATTATATGGTTAACTCTCTCACCAACAAACTAACTCCACTCCACTGACTGACTGAACTGTAGACTTGTCCCGCTTATAAATTCTCGGCGCGGGCCTCGTAGTAACCACCCTTCCTCTGTTGCGTTGACGTCTGTTGGAATGCCCACATGATCGCTACTCAGCCATTGCCTATCAATTGCTGTTGTTTACAGAGCCATTACTTAGCAACGGCTGCTGTATAGCTGCTTATTTCGCGGTTGTTGCCAAACAACGGGTCTACATGCCACAATATAATTTTCCCGTGACCCCCCTAATACGTTTATGTTCTATGTGAGCCTTGTGGTATCAAAGGAAAGTAGGTGATTAGTTCTTCCCAGAACTTCTTGTAATATTATCTTCTCAATCACGTGTAGGTATTCCGAGTGGCTACATCCCTTCAAAGTTTTCGAACAAAAAAGTTATATTAGTATCTCATCTCTTCCATTCCTTTCCACATGTTTCCGCCCACTTTTCCTAATAATATTTCATGTGATTTTCGAGAGATGACAGTGAACTGATGGAGGCAAAGGGAAAATGTTAGGAAGAAGAGGAATACGTAGTGTATCTTAAATTAAGATATAATTATCAGTATAGAAACAGCCATACAGACACAATATGAATTCATACTAATCAATGACGCAATTCTGAAGCTAAATAGTATTCGTATACGCCCGAAGATGACCCAAGAAGAGGGTCGAAACATGTAGCGATACCACCAACAACGAATGAAAATAAATGTTGACACAGTAGTGTCTATTTTGTGTCTTTCTATTATTTGTTGTGCGGCTCTCCCAAATTATAGCTTTTAGTCTTAAACTGGGCCAAGATCCACACATGATCGTAGAGCCAAAGCATAATGAGTAAAGTTTAAAATTATGGCTTTCCTCATTTTGTAATATTTTCTAACATCCTAACACTTCTTCTTTCTTAGAACTCAGTAATCTCCTCAACATCCATCATATAAGATATGATAATGCGAGAAAGGCGAAACATGGGAACCCTGTGCTTCTACAAATGAAGCAGAACTGGAAACCACTCTACCGTGATGCTGGGTGTGAGTAGCAAGGTTTACTCTCCCGTCTTTATCCCCAGCAGCAGCCGAGTGAACCTCAACTCGTTACTGTAGACTTGCGGGGAAGGGGATGACTGCAGTGCTCCTGCTAATGCTGCATCCCGGCCATCCGTCCCGCAGCAGTTGCCATACCAACGGAGCTACCGCGACTCTCCATTTGCAAAGGGATCCAAGTGAGCAAATATTCTGAATAAAAATTTATTTTCTCTTAACCTGGGGTGTAAAATATGGGTCAGTAATTCCTGAAGCGCCGATCATGGTGGCAGCGTGGTCTAAGGCATGAACTGCCTTCGCTCTCTCGAACGCTGGGATCGTGGGTTCGAATCCCACTTAAGGCATGGATGTTTGTTATGTGTCTGTGTTTATTCTGTGTTTGTGTTGTCCTGTGTTTAGGTAGAGGCCTTGCGACGGCCTGACCCCCAGTCCAAGGACTCCTGCCGTCTGTGAAAAATTATTACGGAACTCACTAAGAGGCCAGGGCCCAACAAAGGTCTGAGAGTTATTGAAAGAAGTCCTGAAGCATGGCCCCAACGGGAGGATACACGCTTCTATAAAATTCTGTCTTTGAAGCTTATTCTTGTAGCTAGGAGTTCGACAACCAACCCTACATATTCTGATTGATGCTAACATTTGAAGAGTTACCAGTTCTTAATCAATTTTTATTGGAGACTGTCATATTCTTCACAAATCTAGGAGAAAAACTTGTATCGCTGAATCATAAAAACGCATTTACCGTCATATACATTAATAAGTAGAATATTTTCAGTGAGTTATTCTTGGCATAGAAGGAATTTGCAGCTGATATATATTTACACTTTAGTGATATTGCAAATAGTTCTGTTTCTGAAAGTTTGTTAATTTATTATATTTACTGGAGCCGAGTAAATTCCAAAGGTTTTGACGATGGTGTATAACACTCGGGATTACCGTGTTTTTAACTTTGTCCATCGCCCATTATTCTAAATAACACTAAAGAACACTCCGTTCCCGTCCTCAGGCGAAGGGGCGGGAGGACGGGAACAGATCCAGTCTCCGAAACGCTGTGTTCTCTAGAATACCGGACGATGGACAAGGCCCAGAAACTCAGTAACCCTGATATAACTTGATGCACTCACAGCGATAACTACGAAGACCATTATCTTCCGGGGTGTAACGTCGTGTAGTCCGGTAAACGTCCACAGACATTTCGGAGGAACGTACTCCCTCCATCTCCAGTGTCAAAGAATAAGCCAAACTAAAGAACGGGAAGCAGGTGGCAAGCTGAAAACCTCTTGCTGATTTCTTACTTTGGCTTATTCTTTGACCCTGAAGATGGAAGCAGTACTATCTTCCGAAACCTATGCGGACTTTTACCGAAATCCACGAACTTACACTCTGGGAGACAGTAAGGTGAGGCAAAGTTGTCCTTTGCTTAACTAATTAAGCAGTACGCCATGAAGGCGTATGGGGGAGTGGATGCATAGGCCCATGTTTTCTTGACCTCGGCCGGAATACCGCTGTCGGTGTAATGACTGGATACGGGCAGGACGACCAAGAGGTCGAAATTCTAGTCCCGATGGGGGCAAAAATTTTCACTTCTCCATGTCGCCCAGACCGGCTCTGGACCCACCCAGCCTGCTATATAATGGATACAGGAGGGAAAAGCGGCCGGGTGTGAATCTGACCACTCACCTCCAGCTAGTGCTATTGCCGACAAGAAAATGTGGATCTATACATTCACTCTCCCATACGCCCTGGCAGAGAAGTGCTTAATTCGTTAAGCACAGGGACAACTTCACCTTCGCCTTCACCTTATATGTAGTGATGTAAAATTATTCACTTTAGAATATATTTATCTCTAGTTAATACATTACTAAATTTACGTGTTTTACGAATATTTTATTAAACTTTAGATTTTTGTGGAAATAATGGAAGGAAGTGTGACTACTCCATACACGTCCTTAATGTATCTGTTGTGGTGCTTTGTTAAGTGTCCTTTGTTTCAAGGATAAAGGTGAGAACAAACAAAAGAGAAACATGAAATTACTTAAAAAACAGAACTCAGTTTTTGTGGGAAACAACTGCTGGATTCTTTCTAAGAGACATTAAGAGTAACTACGAATAACAAAGAGTATAAATCTTTGGTGCTTGATAAGAACGGTTCAAGTAAAATACAGTTATGAAGGACATAAATTGACTAAAGATCTTTGTAACAATGAGATATCGTTATTTCTATCTTATGGTTTGGGCACCGTCCTTTTTACTTCCACTCTATAAAGATTAGACTTGAGTTCTGAATAACATTCAAAAGAGAAACAAATGAGGAAATGTAAGCAGAACTTAATTGTTCTTGTTCTTTTACTCTCTTATCGTTTTCTACCTCCTGGTCATAGTTTCCTAACCTACGAATCCCCATGGAAGCTCATACAATAAGAACAAATTCTGTTTCTTCACTCTGTATGTTATCTAAAGTGGCTCGACATCTCTCTGCAAGAACCTAAAATGTCAAAATCAGTTAAACGGTTCTCAGATTGTGAGGTGATGGATCATCACGACTAAGTTTATTTAATTATCACGAAAATCTTAACAAGATAAAAAAGTGGCTTAAATCACGTGTTTAATTCCTCTGTATTTTTTAATTTTTGCTCCGATAAATATTTGGGACGTTGCGCTCCAAGTCTCCTCACATGTGCATGTAGGTCTTGTTGTAAAGGTCCGTCGTCGTAGTTCTTCATTAACTGCAGTTGATATATGTTGACAAATTTTAATATAACTGACTATTATTGAATTTTGTTAATATCCATTCAGCGGGTAGCGAGTCCTTCGGGCGGTCGCACACCAACTGCGTCAAGACAAGTATCAAGACATAGACAAAAGACTCAGTCTTGCTTCATTTGTAATTCAGACTCGAGTCCGCAGACCGAAGTGGCACGTGTGTGCGTCTTATCACATCTTCTCCAGTTGATGACATGACGTCGGCTCTTCACTCGTGCCGATAACATACACTGGTGCTTTTCCTTGAGTACTGATGTCTGAGTCTTACTGCACGTGTTTGCAGCATGAAGCTGACGTCAGCAACATGACTCAGACCGGTGTGCGGCATTTTTCATAATCTCATTTGTTGCAACTGTGCTCCTTTCTTTGCGCCATGTCGCAGACTTCGTGTCTTGACGCATGCCGGTGTGCGGCCAACCTTATATTCCAACAAATGTACAAACACACCTGGAGTAGCTAATGACTATAGTTTTGCAACATGCCGAATTCCCAATGTATATACTGTCACGTGTTGGGTGATTAACGCGACAAATAACTTCACGCCTTACTGGATATAGTGAATTTTATTCCACATTCGCTCTCACAATCACACAATTTACAAGCTCAACATTACGGCCATTGGCAGTATTACAAATACTGTACTGCAATTAACTGGTGACTTACTCGTAACTAGAGATCTCGCGAACTGGTAACTAGTTAGTTAGTTAGTTATTGGAGAGGGTGGTTTTCCCCATGCACTTAGACCTGTATTGGTCCATTGTGCTTCCCTCTATGATTTCTACCAGTCTCTATATCCTACCGGTACTGGTGCTCACTATCAGTCCCGCCCAGCCAGCGAGACCGGCTCTACTAGCTGAGAGGTATCTATAATGCCTCCCCCATCTACCGGAGGTATTAGAGACTGCTGTTGGGGGGGGGGAACGTCCGTAATTTGGTTCAGTGACCTCCATTGGAGATATGAGGTTCTGTTACGTGCCGTAAAGCTACGACACGGGACCCACGGCTTAAAGTCCCTCCCGGAGGACTTGTTCCCTGAATTTTTCCGCCCTTAAAAATTCGACGACCTCCGCCGGATATTTGAACCCGCGTACTACGAGCCATGAGATGGGAACGTTACCTCTAGACTACGGAGGCCGCTAACTAGTAACTAACTGTGAATAGTCCTCGCTGCTCCTTATTTAGCCCCGTTCTGGACAAAACAGAAAACAGTCACGTAATCGGCACCGCTGTTGTCTGGCGCCGTGTTGCTAGCAACGCTGTCGGGAGTTGTTTACCGATACGTAGCAACTGCGGCGTCCCGTGTTACGTCACCGCTGGCGGGGTAGGGAAAGGAGTTTTGACTCGCCTGTTACCCTAGGAACGACAGCGCTCTGATGGTGTTACGTGACCGCTGGCGGGGGGGGAGGGGTGTCCTGCATAGCGCAACACGTCACAATATATATGTGGGGAGGGCTACTATTGGCATGTCGAAATTGACAAAGTCTGATTAAACCCCTCTTTACGAACACTGAAAAAATATCAAACAGTACACAAACCTGGGTGTCTACTTGCAATGGTCTTGATTCTCAACTAGCTGGATACAACGCGGAATCTTCCACATGCCTTCCTCTTCTCTCACTTCTAATAATATGTGGCAAAAAAGGGCCTAAAATTTGTTGGATCCCGTGTCAAGCCATAGGTTCTTTCGTCATCCTGTAACCGGAGAAAAATTGGTGATCTCTTCTGCTATCACTCACTCATGGAGGTGAGCTCTTCTGGAGAAGCCGCCTATTGTGCTACTACTCAAGAACTTCCAAGGATTTTATGGAACCTGGAGGTTCATTACTGCGTTCAAAAGTGCACTTCATTGGTCCCTATCCTGTGTCAGATCAATCTAATCCATACCATTCCATTATGTCTCTCTAAGATTCATTTTAATATTGTCCACTCAATTACGTCTTGGTCTTCCTAGAGGTCTCTTTCCTTCTGGCTTTCCCACCAGTATCCTATATGCTCCTCATTATGTAGTTTTCTTCAACCTCCCGTCATTTCTCTCTTCGGTCCAAATATTCTCAACACCCTGTTCTCAAACACCCTCAGTTTATGTTTCTCCCTCCATGTCAGAGAACAAGTTTCACAACCATACAGAACCAGAGCAAAATTATAGTTTTGTATATTCTAATATTCTTTACTATTATAGGGATATAAATTCAGACGTTGCTCTCTTACAGTCTTCATTGGTAAGCAATTCCTTCAC